ATACATATATATATATATATAAGGATAATCAGGCCGGTATCTTGAAGACGAGCCCTATGGCCTAACAGGCTCGAAATCCCAAAGTCAGTGCGGCAGATTTGGCCCGGTCGGCAACAGTGAGAGGAAATTTGCAAAAGGATTCGTCTGCACAGGGGCCTTTCCGTATCTTGTCTGCGGCTGCCCAGCTTTCTAGCTTCTTGCATAAGATTTCCCTCTTCAGATCATTCTACTTCTTCCACCGCCGCCATTGAGGTCACCCGTAGGGGGCCACAAATAGTAGGATCACTCACACAGGACTTGTTCACTGTTGCCTTTGCTCTTCCCCAGGCTGAGCCTGCTCAGCTCTCGCAAAGAGCGGGACTACTGTAGCAAAAGATACCCCAAACACCAAGGGAGATCTCAGATCGCCAGCAAAGGAAGGGCGTAGTTAGGTGTAACTCATTCTCAGAGCAGAGACATGAGCAGCAATCCCAAAGTCACAGCCGGCACGACCCGGTGTTCTACTCGTATCGACACCAGAATTCCTACCCGAGGATCTGGAGGAGATCCTGCGTAGCGGCCCCAAGGGGGAGGCAACATCTGGCCGCTTGAGCTTCCAGGAGGAGGCACGGGCCTTGGGTGAGGCTTCTGAGATCGGGCTGGGTTCGAAAAGTCTGAGAGCAGAAAGTCAAGGGGCGCCATTTCATCTCTCTCTCTCTCTCTCTCTCTCTCCCTCTCCCTCTCGCAAGTGTGCTTCGAAGCCATGCGATTTGTGCTTGGATTCACAATTTAGGGTGTGGGTCGTTCAGCTCTGTTGATGTTGTTGAAGGTCACCTGCAAAGCAGCTGGCTGTCTGGGACGTGCTACTGCATCACATAAAGCAGAAGTCGTCATCCTTGCTCTAGTCTTGAACTCGGAATTGCAAGCCCCGGGTCCAGGGCCCTCCCGAAGAGTTGCCTGAAGGTTGCTGCAGCTGCATTGTGCTTTCGGCTACTCCTCTTCCGCCGCAGCATGCAGAGATCTACTGCAAATGGTCATTTTTTCATGTTGAGGGGCCCTTTACTGTATAGTAAAGCTTGCGCTTTTTTGTCATTGTTGGTGCTGGGAGAGCAAGGAAATCTGCAGACAACTTCGGCAAGAATCTTCCGATGAAGTTCTTGCAAGAGCTCCTCGGTCAGCTAGGTTATTCGTTGATACGCTCCTTTTTTCCTGAAGTGATCCTTACTGACCTCCAGCGTCTCTGGAGCCTTTCGACTCCCAACCAGAACATCCGGGGTTCTAACGCATTTACGCTTTGAGGTCCTTGGAACAAAGACCTCGGGCTCTTATGTTTTGTCTTAGCGCTCCTTACTGTCTCCGACCCCAATGACAGTCCCATGAGCTACAGTTTGTACTCTGTTCGAAGGTGGTCATCTTGGCTCCACCGAACTAAAACCCGGTCCCGTCAGCGGACCCTGCAAATCTACGCATGGCTCCCGCGGCGGATCCGGCATGCATCTACGCATCTCAACCTCCCTTTCTATTGCCCATGGAGACGTGTGCCCTCTCCTCCATACTTCCTCAAGCTGCGACGGCATCCTGAGGAGCAGGCTTTCGAAGGCACCCACTCAAAATACATCCTGCATGGGTGCCCAACGGACAGTTCTTTTAGGGTTGGTTGGCTTTGATCGCAAATGTTTTTCATGGAAGTAACAGCAGCTCTCAGCAGTCAAGCCTTATACCGCCGTTGCGGCAAAAATGTCCCAGGTTCGCATTCCTCTGGGAGATGAGCCATTTCCTGAACTGGCAACATCTGCTGGACGGGCTGTCTTGTGGGTTTCAGGCTTTTTGGATTGGGCGCCGTAGCATTGCTTACCTGAAGGCCTGAGACTGCAATAAGTGATGGGAATGCAGTTCATGATTTCTTCGAGTCTTCGGTGAGGTGTTCAAAGTGCCGCTACGACTTTTTAGCTCAAGGTCGTGAGATAAACGATTGCAATTGTGAAGACGATCGCTCAACCCAACAATGGCGGTTAGACTTGAAACGCTGCTGCGGTCATTGGCAGAACTGCTGGAAGACGAGGTTGCACGACTCGACCGTTGGACACATCAACACCGCAATGCCACTGACAGTATAGCATGGACATTTCGTTCATAGACGATGAACCGCATTGTGCCAACATCAGCCCCCCAGGCCCCCACCAAATCAGTAGCGGCCGATTGACGCACAAGCGAGAGCTGCGCAATTGACAAGACCCGGGAACTGACCCGGTTCACCCCGAGGATCGAATCTGTGAACCTCAGCAGTTTTCATGTGGCCAACATGTATGTGACAAAGAGGGCGTAGCAGATCCGAAGCCGAAGCAGCAAAGCTGTAGATCCGACATTGACTAACCCGTAAAGCTGACACCAGAGCAAAGACACCTCGGGCCTTGGGGCCCTGAAGCTTCCTGGCCAACAGTCCTCTCCTCCTTCTCTGAGAGAGAGGAATCTGGTTGGCCTGTGTTTGGTCTCTTTCGCCTCGTCGTGCAGCACTGGCCCAGGCCTCTCGTCTTGTCTCAGACCTTGGGATTGCAGGGCATTGTCGCTTCAAGGGTGTGGGGGTGTTGAGGGCTTCTGTGGGCTAGATGCAGACCTCATGATGCCACGCGGTACGCCTCGTTGTCATTGCATCATCGACTCTTGCCGGGAGACAAAGCTAGCCCTCACAATCCTTGCGGGTGTTAACAAGTCTGTTGCGTCCCGTCGAAGACCTGCGATTCAAGTTTCAAAGCGATGGAGCATCCAAGATCTGGCACGGCTGGAAACGAAACGGCGGCTTGGTCTAATCCAGGCACGTGGAAGGGGTTTGGCCTAGCGGGAAGATGCAAACCCTGGCCCTAGCAAGTAGGCAGTAGAATACTTAATTCGATGTTTCGAGCATCCACTGTCTTTTTCGATTTAGGCTCCAGGGTTTCACCGTTTTTGGATATCTTGAGGCACTCGGTGTTCCAGCAACACTGGATTCCCGAAATCTTTGGGCCCCGAAGAGGCGGCCAGCTACATGTCAGGATTCGAGATTCCTTCCTTCCAAGGTGCGCCGCACACATCGCGGCAATGCGACAGCATCGGTTTGTGATGGTTGGACTCTCAGAGACAAGTCATCGAGCTTGGGATGACGTCCCTGTATGCACCACCTTACAACACGTTCGCCTCTACGAAGCTCCAAGCAGGAATGGAAAGCCTGATAACTTTGGCACCCCTCCAAACCTGCAAAACTACCACCGACGATCCCTGCGAGTGAAGTTCAGGGCCCTCGTCAAAGCTTCGTTCGTCATTGGAGGCCGCTTCGGCAGGGCTCCAGAAGAAGTCCCGTGATCTGCTGGGCTTGGATTTGGGGGCCTTTACGGTTCAGGGCTGCTCTGCCTCTTCGGATGCAGGCTTTGAGATATCCCAGCCCCATGACTCCCGCTGGGAGGCGATGGGCTCCGACATCGACGGTGAGGGACTGCGGGTCCCGGGCTCGCTATGAACTTGTGTGTTGGGGCCCTAAGCCCCTAGGCCCCTAGGCCCTCAGAAGCCCTATTTGGGTTTCGGCCTTCGGAGTTCGGGGGTTTGCAAGCCGCATGCTCCCCGCAGAAAGCCTCAGGCAGGAAGTTGGCCTCTGCCACCCAGACTTCAACAGCACTGACTTATTGGTTTCGACCGATACTTGATTCAGGAGCTCTCTGCACCGGGTCAAAAGTAAAGCCAACAATTCTACTACCCTACACCGCAGATCGAGCTTAGATGCTCTTTCGTCGTTGCTTGTGTTTTGTTTCGCTCCAGTTCTTCGCCTGCTTCGTGAGTCGAATCGTGCCTTCCCTTACGAGACATCCTACTTGAATGGCGACTGAAGCACCCTTCCTGTTTTGTAGCTTTGACAAGGCAATCAGGAAGAGAAGCTAAAGCGCTTTTTCTAGTTGGAATTTACAGCAGCACTTCTATTACTAGAGCAGAGGCCGTTTTGTTGTTCCTGCGGGTTGACAGGCGAGCGAGGAATGTGCTGTGCTTCCTCCACTACTGTACTCACGCGTCTGCTGTTCGCGCCGCGAAGCCTGTCACGGAGCAGAAGTAACCACTAAGCTAGTAACCTCTTTCTTCCAAAGAGCTGAATCCAGGAGGTAGCATGACGCTCCGCGTCCCCAGGTTCCGGGGGTGGGCGAGCCGAAGGAGTGCGGCTGGCAGGCGGGGTTCCATGTTTGGCGGTAGGGATCGTGTGAGGTCTAAAATTCTTCAGGAGATAGCACCAATCCTACATCTTGAGATTGTGCCTGGCACCGGAGAGGGCTCCTTGAGGCTCGCTGTCGGTCTCGTCTGTGAGGTCTCGACTTTCGGAGGGTGTAAGTCTGAAGGGAGATGTCGGCTGTTGTGTCGTAATTTACACGCGAACCTTTCTCCCACAAGTTCATCTCAATTCACGCATTCTCAACCTCTGTCTGAGTCAGGGGCCCGAGCCCACGGAGCTGCTTTCAAGCAACGAGCATTGCAAGAGGACTCCCTATGTAGCTCTTCAGGAATCGCTTGGGAAGCTGCTCATGACGGCCTGGCTGATCTACAACGCGAACTCTTACCGGTTCCTCGGACAGCAGCATGGGGGAGTTTGGTGCTTTGCTAGAGCAGGTTTGGGGCTTGCGCTTAGCACCCTTCTCGGAGGGGAGGTTTCTTCCTGCACTCACCGAACAGGTCCTGTGGTGCTTCCGGTTTGCAGCTCCCAGGCTTCGTGTTTCTCTTTGAGAGTATTGACCTTTACCTGCACCAGGTACCACATGTACAATGGCGAGTCCTTCGCACCGCTGGAAGACATGCCCTTCTACGACCCTTGTCCTGCAGGCACGGCGGTTATCTAAAGAATCTAGTGTCTGGAGCTCGGGCGGTGTCCGGTGTGATTTTTTTGTTTTCGAGCTTGATGCCAGCCCAGAAGCCCTGTTCAGTTTAGGGTCAGGCCATGTTCAAATTTGCTGATTTCAGAGGGTCGAACTCTGAGGAAGAAGTGTCCTTAGATTCAGTTATCGAACTCTGTCTGTTCAGGCTATGCTACTTAAGGGAACAGGCAGCGACTGGATCGAACTGACTTCATGATGCTCCGGTTCGGGAAGCAATGGAAATGCCGCGCGCGCAGTTATTGTCCAATGCGCAATGGGAGATCTGACAGCGGTTTGCGACAGCGGTTCTGCGCGTCTTTCCTGGACCATGGCGTTTTTCGAGCATGCGAAGAGAAAAGACACTCGTGGGACTTGAAGCTTTGTATGCCTGCGGACGTGACAATAGCACCTTGAGCGAACTACGTCATACGTCCCAACCTCATGTCTTGAAGGGACCGCCTCTGGCTAAAACGTGGGTTCAACTTCAAGGAATGGCAGTCTACCGAAAACATCTCTAAGATGCCCGCACCATGATGCACGCAAACGAGTAGACTGGTCTTCAACCGAGCCTCACCATTCAGACTTGCATGTCCGAAGATTAGCATCCGAAAAGTCGCTGTCGTCCTGGCTTTTGATCGAGGTGTACCGCCTGTCGACTTTTGTCTTAGTCTTTGGGCTCGGGCACCGCAGTTGTCCCGGGTTCTGGGCATCTGCTATTCGCAGCAGAGACCATGTGAGACTTCGCAAGGTCTCTGTCCTTGCTTCTATTGGGCAGCTAAAGCCTTGGCGATGACCGTCCTTTCCGCTGTTGCTACGATATCGACCTTTGGGTTCAGGATTTCCCTCCTGAACCCTATGAGCCCAATGAACCCTCATAGCAGCCCTTGGTGGAAACCTTCGTGGTACAGACCCTTGTACGGAAAAGGCCCCGTGATTCGAAACCTGTGTGGCTTCCCAACCTTGGGTCTCTCAAGTTCGTAGATCTCAAAAAACCCTCCGCTATGAACCGCTTAGCCCCAAAACAAGCCGTACGGGCCACATGAGTCCTCAACCTTTGAATCAAGGAAATGGTGCTACACCGGTCCTGGGAGCAAAGTCTGCTGGGACTCACCGGCGACGCCTCGCAAGGGCCGCTTGTCGAAGGATGGAGATGGGCCTTTGGGGTTCAGGGTTTCGGGGCTTAGTATAGGCCTGACGTTGAAGCACGCAACATCTACCCTTAGAGTTGAAACTCGCGCAAACTTGACAAACAGCAGATTTTTGTAAGGAGGCCATCCGGATGCGGCCGAAGAAGCATTCTCTCGTAGGCTTCTGGCACCTGGACGGCCCTCTCCAGGCAAAGAGGAACCGTGGAGACGACGGCGCAGCTGCTGCTCGCCGAGATTTAGGAAGCGTTGCCAAGTCCCAAGCCATTTTTCGGCTTTTTCGCTTCCGGCAGGTCGTACGTGGCATGTCGAGTAATTTTCACGCTTGGGGGTCACGAGCGTTTGTCTTGCCTTCGTTTTGAAGAGACAAAGAGGAGAGGATGACGGCAGGTACATAGCCCTGTGATATCAGCTTAAATCAACTTAGCAAGACTGACACATGAACTCACCGCATGCACACACTCCTGCATTGAGGGTGAGATGACATGATCTGTAATGTCGCCTAAGAAACGACGTAGGAGCCGACGATGGAGTCGACTTCTGAACTGAAGCGAGCCATGATGCACGAGCTCGGAAAGGGATGTGCGAGCATGCTGCGGGCTCTGTCCGGACGCAGCATCTGACGGATAACGTGAAGCATTGCTAATCTACCCAACGAGCCGTCACATGATCCTGCACATGGTTTCAGAGTTTAAGAGACATATTATGGCATGATCTATGAATCTATGATGACCGGCTTGACGCTCGAGAGCCGGGACTGGGTTTTCGATGTGCGGCACGACGTTAACAACACGGCTGCAAAATGCTTTCCCGGTGCAGGCTAACGCAGTAAAGCGGAGCGCGCGATAGCGCCCGTTTGAGGTGGAAGTTTAAGTGTAGGCCCATCGAATGCCTGCGTGAGCAACTGAGGCCAAGCTCCGGAACAGGGTGAACTTAGGAAGCCGCAAGCAGAACTTGAGATGCAGCGTGCAAGTTCCATCACTACTTGAAGGTGCCCAAGCCCTCAGAAACCTGAAGCCCCGAGCCTCAAAACGAGCCTTTGAGCTTTGCCGAAGGTTGCAGAGCCGATGGGATCCCTGGGATCTTCTGAGCTCGCTGGACCGGGGTTCAGGGTTTAGGGTTTAGCGTTTAGGGTAGGGGTGCCAGGGTTCAGGTCCAGGTGAGGTGTAATGTCGGAACCTGATTAAGAAGCCTTGGGGTCTTTATTAGGGTTGTCTATATGAATCCTAATAGTTTTGTGGTTATAGGGCCAGGGTTTCTTAATCAGGTTCCTACATGTAGGAACCTGATTAAGAAACCCTGGCCCTATAACCCCAATATATTAGGTATCATATTCAGAACCCTAATATAGAGCCAGGGTTTCTTAATCAGGTTCCTACATTAGGTGGTTCAGTAAGGGCAGATCCGAGTTCCGGCAGCCCTCTGGGATTCGGGAGATTTGGGGAGTTTTTGACGCCTTGCAGAGGTTGAGGCAGCAGATCTTCGTGAATTGTTGCTTTTGTTTGGCCAAGGGGGCTTTTTTTAGAATATTTTAGGATTATGTTGTGCAGGGCTGCGCGTTCGGTGTTTTCGGTCTGCAAGCCTGGCTTACGAAGTTTTGGGTTTAGGGGCTTCCTGTGAGTCTTTGAGGTTGAACGCCGACTCCGTGCTTGCTGCAAAGCGCTTCGATGCCGAATACTGCCGGGCCTAGAAGTCCTGACCCCCGACCCGCACACTAAACCCTAAACCCTAAACCCTAAACCCTAAACCCTAAACCCTAAACCCTAAACCCTAAACCCTAAACCCTAAACCCCTAAATCCGGAACAGGGCTTCAAAGCCCGGCGTCGTAGTCACGTAGTCCAAGATCGCCCACACCGTGGGATCTCCAGAGCCGGCAGGAAGTTCTCCACCTACATCGCTCCTGGAGGCTCTTCAAGGCCTCTGCCAGGGCTTTGAAACTTTGGAGCTTTCTGGCTTGGGGTTCGGGGCTTCTTTTTTGGACTCGTTTGGGTTTAGGCATCGAGAGTTTTGAAGCGGATTAAGATGGAGCAGCAGGAGCCGTGTGCTTTCCAGGATACAATGTTCAATATTGGACCCGGATCAGATCCTGGTGTGGCTGCTGTAAGCTGTATATAAGTTGTGGAAATCGTTCTTCGTGCTGGTGCCAAAGGCTGCATCGGGGTTAATATTCATGAGTGACCTCACTGTTGCGTCTTGCCGGTAACTACAAGAACGCATCACTAGGCCTCAAAGGGCTTCAGCTTTACCCCTAATCGCCGCATATCGCCGCTGCTCAGCCGCAATCAGCTTTGAGACGGCCTGCGATGCTCAAAATCTTATTGTAAACATCATCTTGGTGTCCTGATCCCCGATCCCTGGACCTCGATCTGACCCCCGGCGTCGGGAGCCTTGCTGCATCGAACTTCGGTATGAAGCAACCCTGAACTCGAAACTCAAAACTCTACTAGTAGGACTCTAGGCCCTAAGGTTTCAACCTAACTGTTCACGCAGGAAATCCTGCCTGCGCAGCCCGTCATTGTCGAGGAAGCGTCCAGGGACATGATCTTGTCGCTTGCTTCCCATGAACCCAATTTGCGGGGCTTCTTCAACGTTCGAAGCTGCTACTTCGGCCGTGAGGTTCGGCTTCAGTTTAAGCAGCTGTATTTCCGCCCAGCCCAGATCCAGCAAGATTGTTGGAAATTGAAATCCCGAACCCTGGAAGGGTTTTTCGTGCTTGCTAGCTACCTTTGCTGCAGAAGCGCCGTCCTAGAGGGCGTCCCGAAGCGCCTGTACTACGGGCTCCACAACAGACTTTGGACAGTCCCGTCGGCGTTCAACATGGGGGGGCAGGCTTACAGAAGGCTAGACGGGAAAATGCAGACAGCTACAAAAAAGAGTTACAAAAGCCTAAACCCTAAACCCTAAACCCTAAACCCTAAACCCTAAACCCTAACCTTAGCCGTCCTGTCTTTCGGCTTTGAGTGCAGGCCGGTGCCAATGACGGAATTCACGAGGCGATCTGGCTCCAGGCTTGTGGCTTTGGAGACCAGAGGTATTCTGTCTGACTGGCTGTGGCGTGGCTCTTGCGGATACGCACACTTCGGATCTCCGTGAAACTTGCATAGGTTTTGTTGAGAGCCCACATCTACCACGACATTTGGCCAGTCTGGAATGCAGCCTGCCGCGCTGAGAAAGTTAGACAAGGTAGACAGAAAGACGACGACACAGCTTTTCCAGCCCTGACCTTGCAATGAGATGCATGGGTGATTGGGGAAGGGAGGGAAGGTAAGCGGATAGGTCTCTCTCGTCTCGTCTCGTCCCTCTGTCATCCTCTGTCTCTCTGTCTCTCTCTGTCTCTCTCTGTCCCTCTTTGTCTCTCTCTCTCTCTCTCTCTCTCTCTCTCTCCCTCCCTCCCTCTCTGTTTCTGTGTGCGTATGCATGCACGCATGTTTGCCATATCCTGCTTGGCCTACAGAGGCATACATAGAAGAAGCCCATCGATGTACAGGTAGAGAGGGAGATCGATAGCTCCATGTGGGATCTGTGCGATATCAAGAAGATATACTGCCACCTGCTGTAGCAAGTGTTGGCACATTCGTCTCCAGTATTCTCCTGAACCCGAGTCCCCATGTAAGGGGCACGTCTCGTGATTCAAAGACCCGAAACAAGCTCACTCAAACCCTGAGCCCTCATGCCATTCCACTTGAGCTTCACGCACGGTCCGTTGTGCATGTCGCAGGAGTGGCCAACGGCACAGATCATGGCGTTTGAGCCAGATCCGACATGCTTTGCCCACCTGACGAGGAGTGCGGGTGCAGCAAGGGTCGCAGTTTCTGGTAGTTTGCAACTTTCCTTCCTAGACTAGCAGCTTCCTACCAACGAAAGCAAGCATCTCGAAAGCCGTGCGAGCTCTTTTCACGCCAAGCCCGATGCAGGAACCTCAGAGATGTAATGGGTCGCGCAAACCCCAACTCGAAGCTGCTGAACATGGCCTTATCCGGCAAAGTGGGACAGATGCCCAGCTGCTCGTGGGAACTTGGGTTCATGGTCAACGAGGCTCAGAGGAGGGGAGTGTCGCGATTCGTGGCTTTGAACTGTGGGTCGCGGATGTTTCCACAACGGCTGCAAGTGCACCGTGAGAATGCTGAATCTTGGGTTCCGGCATTGAATCCCTTTCCCATTATGGGATATCTTGCAGCCAATATGCTTTCAAAGATACAGAAAAGCCCCCTATCAAAACAAGCCCTTCGTCCTGAGGCCTAAACAAAAGATCTGGACCCTAGACCTTGAACTCTAAACATTAACTGCTCCCAACCCGAACCTAGAACGGTTTGACTTCCGCGTCCCGCAGCTCACACCCTGTGGGTTAAACAAACTGGAAGTTCAGAGCCCAACACCCTAAGCCTTAAACCCTGAACCCGTAGGCGAAAACTTGAAAACCGAAAGCTCAGGATGGATTTCTACCTCCGTGACGGAAATTTTTCGACGAGCGCGGTGAACACGCTCCATGAGCCGACGGACGGAGCTGGAAGAAGGTTTAGGGCTCGTAACACACCCAAAAATGCATAACTGCGAACAATCAAAGCATGCCAAGATGCACGTGGTTTTCCCTTGCTTTTGCATGTTTTCCTAGCCTCTGAGTCTTTGCGTACCTCCCTCCCTTCTCTCACACGAGCATAGACATGTTTGCAGAAATACATTCAAGTTCACAAGTCTAGAACAAGTTGCAGGACTGGTTCAACGAGCACTTTCCGCAGATAAGCTGGCAGCGGGAGACCGTGAAAGTCCAGACGATGCCATTGGAGCCTCTGCCTGAACCCTAAACTGTCCTAAACGCTGGGACGCTGGGGTCTTCTTAGGATAGGCCACTTGGTTGCCTGGCTTGTCAAGCGCCTAAGAAAGAATTCGGTCTAAAGCAGGGACCTCATGGCTCTTGGATCTCGCTTTCAGCTCCAAAAATTCCCCTTCCTCTGTGATTCCTTCGCCTTATCCCTAAACCCTAAACCCTAAACCCTAAACCCTTGAGCCTGTTGAGGCGCCAACCAAACCCAAAGCTGCAGCACAGGATTCCCTGGCTTTCTATGACGTGCATGCTGTGGATTTCCTCGAGCTGGATGTGCAGTGCCCTGGAAAACAGCGCACTTTGGGGGCTGTTGTGTCCATACCTACTTGGGATTTTGCTTTCAAGATATCAAGGTCTCACGGTTGAGGGTCTGTCTTTCCGTTCACACTTGTCATTGAGGCATTGCTTTGGACTACGTTTGCAGACAGCCGATGGGGGTGGCGGGTGGGGGCTGGGCAGCGTCGCGGGTTCTTCTCAGTCATAGTGGTCCTAGTTTGAAGGGGAAAGCTGGAATTTTAACTTGTGCGCGAAGATCTTGAATTCCTGTGCTGCATTTGTTTTTCTGGAAGCATCTGAACTCCAGCCATATGGTGGTGTCCCCCGTGTGCTTCATGTCTGTGTGCTGTGATGTTTTCCGAGTTGTCCGAGTTTGAGGGTCTTCTCTGCGAAGGTATCCAGAGCTCTGCTTACTTGATGTAGGATATCTCAGGTGATTGTAGCGGGCCACTGCCGCAACCTCTGCCGCGACGACTACTACTTTTGCTTTTTACTTGTGCTTCTACTTCTACTTCTACTTCTACTTCTACTTCTACTTCTTCTTCTACTACTACTACTACTACTACTACTACTACGACTACTAGTGCTGCTACTGCTACTGCCACTGCTACTGCTGCTGCGCTACGACGACTACGACTACGACCACGACCACGGCGACGGCGACGGCGACGGCGACGGCGGCAGCTACTGCTACGGCTACGGCTGCGGCTACGACGACGACAACGACAACGGCAACGACAAGAACAGCTGCTGCTGCTGCTGTTGTTGCTGCTACGACGACGACCACCACGACCACGACGACGACGACGACGACGACGACGACGACGACGACGACCACGATCACCACGACCACGACCACGACCACGACCACGACCACGACCACGACCACGACCACGACCACGACAACGACGACGAACCGATGACGACGACGACTACCACTACCTCTGCCACAACAAACTTGCCTCCTGCTGATGATGCTGTTTCTGCTACTGCTGTTCATGCTAGTGGTGCCGCTACCGCTAATGCTACTGGTGCTAACACTACTGCTGCTACCGCAGCATTCAGTACGCCGGTGCCATGAGAATGGCAGTATCCCACCCGACGAAGCTACCCAGCTCAAGGTGCCATGAGTACAACGTGCTGCAGGCCTCCATCAAGGCTTGATGTTCAATTCCCGTGCTGCCGGTGTGGAGTTGTTATCGGCTGAGCTACTGAGCACCCTACTGTGGGCCGTTCCACGTCGACGCTTCTTTTCGAATCGCACCTGTGTTGGGGTCGTGCAGTGGGTCCCAGTTCCACCACGGGGCCGCACCCATGCCCAAAGAGCAAGGCTAGACGAACTGAGCAGAGCCGAGTTTCTGGGACACAGCCGGCGTCAGCATCTGCAAGATCTCCTGACTCGAAGATTCCACGGTGTGCACACCTGTCCACGCATCCCAACTCCACGAGTCGCGAGTGTTGAGCTTGGACCGCGGTGACGGCCAATGTCAAGCTCCAAACTCGAATTTGAAGGGAGATCAACATCGAAGTCCGAAAGCAGCGACTCCGCCGGCCTTGTTTGCAATCTGAGTCCAAGTCAGGGCTTCGAGCACCTTGAAAGCCCCAGCTCCACCAACAAACCCAACCAAACTCGTCCCCCCGCAGATCCTGCCGACCATCACGATCATGCAGATCGAGGCATGCCTGCCCCCTGGCATGTGCAAGGCGGGTCAGCCACAACACAAACCCTGAAAGCTGAAAGCCTCAAGCAAGGCTCTGAACCAACATACGTCCTGGACCCGAATCCTATCCGGGAAGCGGCAAAAACCCGACACCTGAAACCCCGACTCTTAATGTGCATAGATTTCAAGTCCAGCCGACCCATGCCTTATCCTTGAACGCCACAGTCCTACTTAAAGCCACAGCCCTGGAACCCTGCATATTTCGAGATCTTGAAGGTTTCCTGGAAGTTGGGGTTGGGTGATACGACGCTTGTTGAAGGTTACTCTTAGACAGGCCCGGATCACGGCAACCCACAAAGCCCACCATCAAGAACCAAGAAGCACTTTTTTGTGCCAAATCTCGAGTCGTTGAAGCCTGGGCCCAGTAGCTCTTGAGCGCCCAAGCTGGCGAAGGGTACGGCGCTCTACGAGGACATCCGAACTCTGCTCACGCAACGGGGCTTCTCGTTGCTGGCCACGGATGCGAAGCCAGACTCCCTGCTGCATCCCCAGGAGACTTGACGATCCTTGCTACTTGTAGTGTTGGGGCTCATGAGTTGGGTTCTCCTCACGGGACTTCGCATGTCTGTCATTAGATTACACATGTTCCTGCCGGAATTACGTATGATTCTCACGACATATGTAAGTCTCGTGACAAGTGATGACCCTGGGTACTTCTGCGCACGTCAGCTATTCAAAGGGCTCATTCCGATGGCTTTCAGTCCTTACCTTGCCGCCTTCGAGAGTCCGGAAGGTTTCAGGGCGACAAAGGGGATTGCACGTGAAACGGAAGCCTGCTGAACTGTAGTGCAGAAGGCATTCACTCCACGCACCGGCTCTTGCGTGGCCTCACCTTCTCGTGCAAGTGTGCACCGAGCTTTCAACGTGACTTGTGCACGAATAGGCTGATGTTAGGCGGTGGGACCAAAGCTATAAGTCTTGGCAGCTGGTTCCTGGGTTCACACCTTGGGCGTGCATCGTAGACCTCCGGCATGGTTGCGGATGTCCCTCAAAAGCAGGATCGCTGCTTCGATGCTCTCTTTGTGAACCTGGCCAAGGACGCTCCATGTTCAGGGCATGCGGACACTGTGTCCAATCGCAAAACGGTGCTGAAGAGCTTTAGGCAACTTATTGCCGGAAGCCCAGAACCTTGAAGTGCCTGCAGCCCCAATATCGTCGTCCCTACCCTAAACTTTGCAACTTGAGCTCTAACCCTCAAGTTGTTTGTCTCGGGGTGAAAGGCTTCAGGACTCGAGGTCAACGGCCAAGATCATCAGCCTGAAACATGGTATTGATTTTGAAGCAGATGGGATGCATAGATCGTTGGGCTTTACGGGTTGGTTTTGTTTTTGCTCTTGAGCTCAAATCGGAAGGTTCGATAGTTTGGTATCTGGGGTTTGATTGCGATAAGAATTTTTAAATCAGTAGATGAAGAGAACGAGAAGAAGAAGGCAAGGAAACACAACATTACTACTATTACGAGGGTTGGCTCAGCAATGTTGCTTCTTGCGTGCTGCTTCTGATAGGACGCTAGCAGAAGATGTTGCTCAGAATGCCAGACTGCAATCGGCTTGAACGTGCTGTCAGCTGTTCCTCTTACACAGTCCAGGCTTTGTGTTGTGGTTTCTTTTGCAAATATTTCCAAACGTATGTCCTGTTTGTTAGGCTGACAGGTTTTTGGCGGTCCCTGAGAGTGTTAACATGGCCGGGAAAGCCCCACTCCCCAAAGACTTAACCCCTAAATCCCAAACCTTCCGTTTTCGGACTCTCGCGGTCAGCAAGAGGCGTCAACAAAGAACCTTGGACTTTACTCTGATTCCAAAACCAAGGCTCCCACAACCTTCAATCCTAAACCCCAAATCTTAGCTTTGGAGTGTCACATCCGGAGGAACCCACAGGAGCCTTGGCTGCGCTTGACGTGGCACGAGGCCTGGACGCCAGGCCGGTCTTTGCCCACGAGTCAGCTGTCTCTTCTCCCTCTGTCTCTCTCCGCCTGTCTCGCTGTCTCTATGTACGCTTGAACATCTCACTTCCGAGCCCCGAGCTCTGAACTTGTACCAGGTGAAGACGCAGTCGGAATGAAGAGGAAGGTTACCTGTCGACAGCTCGTCGATGCCAAGGCCGCCGGCCGTGTCTCGAAAGAGAGTCGAATAAAGAAGAGAGTTCAGACAGTTCAAAAACGACGAAGGGATGATTTCCTTCAAAGTATGGGGTTTACTGTGGACACGTCAGCGTAAACGTCAACTTCAACTCTCTCGCTCTCGCTCTCGCTCTCGCTCTCGCTCTGTCTCTCTCTCTCTCTCTGTCGAAATATGCTTCGATATTGGTTAGAAGCAGCTGTAGTCATGTTCTCGTACAGAGCAAACCCTCCGACCTCCGCCCGGCAAGGTGACAGTTAAGGCTCTATGGGTTTCAGGGAGGTTTCGGGTGTAGGAATTGGCATCTACGGTTTAGGGCGCTTGGGGGGTTGAGGTTGATTCGTGTTGAGGGCTTCATGAATCGAGTAGTTGTTGCAGCTTGACCGAGACTGAAGCCTAACGGACAGCACTCTCAGCCCTGTATCGTGGCCACAGCCCTTGCCAAGCAAAAAGGAGTATAACTACGGTGGCCTCAACCGACTTCTGTGCGGGCTGTGTTTTGAGACTTTGACTTGGTTAGGCTTCACATCGAACTAGGCCCTGCAGCGCTTCGTCTCGAAGGTAACTCTTCCGGAATCAAGGAATGGAAGGGTTGCGAACGGGAGTGGGGGGTTGGTAGGTGGTTTGAGGCATCACTGACTGCGTGGGGCGTAGTTTGTCCTCAGCCTCGGATCGCTGCAGGACGATGGACTTCGTGTTACGTACGAGGAGGCGCATGCACGACATCTTGACTCAGCTGCTCCGACCAAAGTGCCCGACCACACTGCCCGAAACGAGTGTTGAGTGTTGTTGAGAGCCGAAGAAGGCCGGATAGTCCCGATATGTAAGGCATGATGCCAGGTTTCCGGAATCCTTCGCTCAAGCATGGTCCAGCCTCGGAGCCTTGGACTGAGAAGGGCCACCTGTGCCCGCGCCCCGCGACCCTCGTTTTCGGTCCACCAGGGACCGCTTCAAGGAGTGCCCGAAGCGGTTCCGGCCGGTCTCGCACACGGCATCCCTTTAGCGAATGCGGCGCTTCCCGCAGACCGGCCAAAAGCGTGGGTTTTCAGCTGTTTGCCAAGACAGGATCATGTCTGACCAAACACGCATGAAGAGATTCCGACAGCCAGGGATTAGGGTCACGGTAGTTGAATTTGGGGCCCTCGGCAGGATTGCAGGTACGGGATTTAGCTGCTGGTAGCCACTTGCAAAGTTTGGGTACCCTGGGCATGAAGGTGGAGGGTGACTTCGAGGCTTGGGGGACTTCAGACTGTTTGGGGTATTTGGGATCAAGGCCTCAAAGCCTTCAAGTGCGAATTTGGTGTCGGGGGCTTAGAACAGGGCAGGTTTTGGAGTTGTGCGTGTCTTGGGCCGCCAAGCCTGGATGGCCATGACATGTCGGCTCCCTGTCTAAAGGGGAAATCTGTTCGAAGAACTCAAACAGGTGACGTGCTACTGCCTACGACTCCCAATATGATTCTTCGAGATAGAGGGCTTCCATTTCGAGCAGGCCCGGCTAACCTAGAATCAAAGTAATAATTTAATAATAATGATAATAATAATACATATTCATGATAATAATCATAATAATCGTACTTACCTATACTATTTTTTGGGGGGCTCCTTATAAGGTATTGCTTACTGTAGCGGCTTAGCGTCTGACATGGCCATGGGCAGCCCAGAGTTGCAAGCTCTTCTGGCCCCTTGGGCCAAAATACTAATAATAATAGTAATAATAATATTTATTATAAGTATTATTATTATTATTATTATTATTATTGTTATTAATATTAATCAAGCCAAGGTTCAGGCTTTGGGGCGGTCCAGTATTTCTCTTTGCGTGCGATAGGGTCAGGATTCTGATCTTCATGTCCATTCCATGATATTCCGGTCCTGCCATCTGCACCTACACTCGCTGCACAAAAACAGCTGAAGTCCCGGAAGAGAGCTTTGTCCAAGTTGCCCTTGGGGGTTTAGTTTTCGTGGCACCTGCGGAACGTCGAAGAGCGGAACAGAAGAACGGGGAAGTGGAAGCAGAGAGGCATCCAATCCCCAACATGCCCTCCAGTGAGACCTAGCACCTCGAAAGTCAGGAGCTCTTCCAACGCCATGCTGGCGACCAAGACATGCCCGAGGCCTGCTAAGACCTGGAAATCTGAAGCATTTGGGAGCCCTGAGGTCCTAAGGCCCTCTCCCGGGAAGTGGAGAAGGTGGCCTCCACCTCCCCCTCCCCCAAGACATACTGTAGCTTTAACGGCATGCCGTGCTTCTAATGACAAGGCTCTACATTTCACGGCCTTAGTGTGACAAAATACGGCTGCCCACGATCAGGACGCTTGGTTTCGCTCCCCTTTTCTTCCATGGCAAAGGCATGTAAGGCGTGGTTGATAAGCCTGGTTTCCCCCACCTTTGCCCAGCAAGGTTTCTGCCTTTGTTGCACGTGCGTCGTACATCCTTGACATCCTCAGATCCTGTCCTACCCTTGTCCCAATTCCTACAATTCCCAAAACCCTAAACCCTAAACCCTAATCCCTAAACCCTTGTGAAATCCTGCTCTGTTAGTGAATCCGTGTTGACGTTCCTGTATAGATGTAGTTCTTGCAGTACTTATAATAGTGCTAGAGTTTGAGTTGCAGTGAAACGCATGTATATACTGCAGACGTCTTGAGACCAAAGCAACAGCTAGGA